GCCATCAATGATCATGGCATAAGGGTATTGATGGTTCAAAGCCAATTCATTAAACTGCCGCAACAAGCGCAAATGCTCAACCTCAACCAAACCAATCACATCTGCATCCAATGCTTTGATAATGTGCGCAATATTCTTGATGGATTCACCTGCCAAACTTTCTTCCTTAAAAACAATTTCACCATCCCAAGCATGGCGACCCGAAATTTTGTTATTGATGGTATGAGGCCTACCGGATTGTTTATCCGTGAAATAAAAGCGTCCCGAAACGCCAGGACCTGACAAATGCATTCGATTAACACGAATTTCAATATCTTTATACAAATCGTTTTTTTGTAGCAGATGGATCATGCCACGGCGATCATGATCATCATAGACCACTTTATCGAGTAATTGCGTGAGTTTGGCAATCTGATTAAAACGTTCGAAACGCGTTTGGCGGTTGCCTGTGAGGAAGATACGCGCACGCATAAACAAATTTTCAACGTTGTAGGTAGCAATGCGCAATGTATGGGCAGGTTTGTCGATCATAACAAGTGTTTTTGACTAATGTGTACCAAATTGTACTCGTGATCTTGTGCAAACATCTAATTTGTACGAATTTGCTTAACAAAACTGTCAAAATTTGTTACATTACGGACTGTATCAACTCTTGGAGAAACACGTGGACAGTTGCCTTAGGTTGCAGGTCTGCGCATTGTTGTCTTAAGTCACTCTAAACGGGTGCATGAAAATAATGTGTGCACCTGCGTTCAAATTCAAACGTTTTATCAACCCATTCATGAGGACACCACAAGGTGTACTGTGACTTTGGGGTTTGTTTGATGGCATTGTTCTCGCCCTTTACTTAAGCGAGGCCATTATGATTAATCTTTTTGTACTACAAAAAAACCGCTTAGCGCAAGTTCCTATTGAGGATCGTAGCGAATTACTCAATTACAAACCCATTTGGGTTGACGTGATCGACCCTTCTGACGATGAGTTAGCGTGGATCGCGGAATATTACAAGGTGGTATTGCCCGATCCTGAAGAGTTAGGCGATTTGGAGGCGTCTGCACGCTATTTCGAACGCGAAGAAGATGGTCATGTGCATATCCATGCCGATTTTTTGTTAGACGAAGAGGAAAACACTCGCAGTGTACGGGTGGCTTTCGTTTTAACGCAAAATGCTTTATTTTCGATTCATGACGAAGATTTAGCCGTGTTCCGTTTGGTTCGTTTGCGTGCACGTTTACGTCCAGGAACTGTCATGTGCATATTCACGCTGACTTTTTGTTAGATGAAGAAGAAAATACGCGTAGCGTACGCGTGGCTTTTGTTTTAACACAAGATGCCTTGTTTTCCATTCATGATGAAGACCTAGCCGTATTTCGTTTAGTGCGTTTACGCGCACGGTTGCGTCCAGGAACGATTACCGATGCCAAAAGTGTTTTATTAGAACTGTTTGATGCCAATGCGGAATATTCAGCCGATTCAGTCGAGGAAATCTACGAGAGACTGGAAAAAGCAAGCCACGAAGTACTGTCTAGCGATTTATCCGATGATGCGGCAGCGGGCATACTTGAAACGATTGCCCATGAAGAAAACTTAAATGGTCATATCCGTCGCAACGTCATGGATACGCGTCGTGCCATTTCTTTTATGATTCGCAGTCAGCTACTCACAGGCGAGCATATGGATGACGCTCGTCAAATTTTGCGGGATATCGAATCGATAGAAAATCATACGGCATTTTTATTTGAGAAAATTAACTTCTTGATGGATGCCACAGTAGGTTTTATTAATATTAATCAAAATAAAATCATTAAGTTATTTTCTGTTGTGTCGGTTTGCCTTATGCCACCAACTTTAATAGCGAGTGTCTATGGTATGAATTTCAAATTTATGCCCGAACTGGGTTTAAAGTACGGATACGCAGCAGCCATTGGACTCATGGTCTTAAGTGCGATTGTGCCTATTGTTTGGTTTAGGCGCAAAGGATGGTTAACTTAAACAAATCTATTAAATTTGTATGTCATGTTTGCCTACGACGGCTCAAACTTTTGTGGTGATTGCCGGCCCGACTGCTTCAGGAAAAACAGCCTGTGCGCTGCACTTGTCAGAGAATTTTCCTATTGAAATCATCAGCATGGACTCTGCATTGGTTTACCGTGGCATGAATATCGGTACAGCAAAGCCCACCGCAAAAGAGCTAGCAGTTTGTCCTCATCATCTCATTGATGTCATTGAACCAACCGATTATTTTTCCGCAGCTCAATTTGCTAGTTCAGCTTTGGCACTGATTAAGCAGATTCAATCACGAGGTAGAGTTCCTGTGATTGTAGGTGGTACGATGTTGTATTATCGTGCTTTGATGACGCCATTAGATGATTTACCTTCTCGCGATGAAACGGTGCGCCAAAACATTGATCTATTAGCCTCACAGAAAGGCTGGGCTCATTTACATGAGCAACTCCACGCCATTGATCCTGTGACGGCTGCTCGTTTAAATCCACAAGATCGACAACGCATTCAACGAGCTTTAGAAGTTTTTTATATAACTGGCAAGCCTTTATCAAGCTTTTATAAATCTTTAGCCACCTCACCCATTTTAAATCCTCTTCTGATCAGTTTAGAACCGAGTGATCGTAGCTTGTTGCACGATAAAATTTCCCAACGATTTGATCTAATGCTTAAAAATGGTTTTGAAGATGAGGTTATCGGTTTAAGGTCACGGGGAGATTTAAGCCTTGACATGCCCTCTATGCGTTGCGTTGGTTATCGTCAAATGTGGCAGTATCTAGATCAAATGATTGATTATGAAGAGATGCGCGAAAAAGGCATCGTTGCTACACGACAATTAGCCAAAAGGCAACTCACATGGTTGCGCGCCCAGACGAATCGACAAATTGTTGATTGTTTTGATAAAAACATGCAAGAACAAGTTCTTGAACATGTCAAAATGGCTTTAAAAGATGGATAGTACCCTGTTGGCATCCATCACGAATACGACATGAAGATGAGAGCATTGTCTGTAGCAAGACAAGAGAGCGTGAAAAAATGCGCGGTTGATGTCAATATGGAATAAGGTGGTGTGATGATGAGGTCAGTAGAGGTCAATATTGACTACGCATTATCGGTTTTTGATTTAAATTGACCTGGCGAAACTTTGAAATGCCGTTTAAAAGCCTTGCTAAATGCAGCTGCTGACTCATATCCACAACGTTCTGCTACACGTTCAATAGTCATGTTAGGTTCTTGCAACCATAAAGCAGCAACCTGTAAACGCCAGAAGAGAAGGTATTCAATCGGCGATTGACCGATCAAGGTTGAGAATTTTTCTGATAACACGGTTTTGGATAATCCTGATTGAGAACATAAGGTTGTAATGCTCCACGGCTCAAAGGGTTGCTGGTGAATTAAGTTTAAAACGGTTGCCAATCGTTTATCTTGTAAAGCAGCAAACACCCCTTTTTGCACAAGATTTTCTTCGATGCAATGCCGAACGACCAACACAAAAAGACTGTCACACAAACGCTCAACGACAGAATCACTGCCCAAGCGTTGTTCTGATGCCTCACAGGTCATGAGTTCTATGAGTCGGCCCAATTGACCTCCAGCTCGATCTTTTCGAATCACGCAAATATCAGGTAAAGCTCTCCATAACGTGGATTTGGGTGTGTTCAATACAATTTCACCACAGACAAATCCTGCGTCTCCCTCAGACCAACTGGTTTGCTGGGTTTCTTCCATTTGGCTGGGCAAATCCGTTGCACTGTAAGATAAAAAATGCTTTTCTGCCTGAGGCATCAATAAAATTAAATCACCTTTGCTCAGGGCAAGTGGGGTTGGCCAACTGGCTGAATGTACCCAACCTTTTCCTTTGCAAGCAAGGTGAAACCAAATAGAGGTATCAGAATGATGATCTATTAGCCAATGTCCGCAAACGCCCCCTGAATAGATCAATTTAGCGCGTAAATTGAGAACATTTAATAAGGAGGTTAACGAGTCCATATCATTTTCCGAACAATTGGATACAAATGGCGGAATCCAAGACATGGGAATGATGGCTTGAATTGCCTAAACTCTCGACATCGCCACTATATTTGCAGGCTGAAAAATAGGGGCGATCAACTTTCAGGTCGATGATGCGATGATCAGGCAAACCTCGTCATCTTTAGTGATTGCCAATCACTTTAATCGACGTTTTCTTAATGGGTTAACACAGAGGAATTCTCATGACTTATTTTATTATACATTCTATTCAAGACTCGCCAGCATTAGCTCAACCTATTCTGACGGACATCCAACAAAAACTTGGTTTTGTGCCGAACTTAATGGCTCGCCTTGCACAATCTCCTGTTACCTTGCAAACGTATTTGGCATTAGGTTCGGCTGTCGAAAAAACGACTTTAACACCCATAGAACAACAGGTCGTATTGCTTGCCACCAGTGTTGAAAATCAGTGTGGTTATTGTGTAGCAGCGCATTCAACCATCGCTAAACACAAAATAAAAGCAGATGCCACACTTGTTGAAGCGATTCGACAACAGCAACCCATCATGGATAAAAAACTTAATGCTTTAGCTCAGTTTACTCGTTTGGTGGTTCGCCTACGTGGCAAGGTATCACGTGAGATGCTAGATGATTTTCTAAGTGCGGGTTATAGCCAAGAACAAGCGTTGGAAGTATTGTTAGGTGTTACCATGAAAACATTAAGCAATTATGCTAATCATGTCATGGGGACAACAACAGTGGATGCTCAGTTTAGGGCCCAAGCTTGGGAGGCTTCTGCGCAGGCCTAGAAGAGGTTATCATTCCAATTCGACATCCATCGTGAAGGCGAAACAAGAAGGCATTGCTTTTGCAAGACAAACAGGCGTAGCAAACCCACGATTGATGTCGACATAAAAAAGGGCTTGGCCAATCTATGATTTTTCTACCCTTCATACAATCTTAAGTCACTAGATTGCTCAAAAGGATGTTTTCTGAGATAAAATAGACGCATTGCTTTTTTATAGTGCTCATGATGACCAAGCCTACTGCCAATTTCGAACAACAAGAAATCGATAAATTTAGCCAAGTTGCCCACCAATGGTGGGATAAATCAGGCGAATTCAAGCCGTTACACGATATCAATCCACTACGCCTTAACTGGATAGACCGTCAAGTTGGCTTAGCTGGCAAGCAGGTACTTGATGTAGGCTGTGGTGGAGGTATTTTGGCGGAAAGCATGGCCAATAAAGGCGCTCATGTGATGGGTATTGATTTGTCAGAAGCGTCTCTTGAAGTTGCCCGTTTACATGCTTTAGAAACACAAACAACGGTTCATTATGAATTGATCAGTGTCGAAGCACTTGCTATGAATAAAGCAGCTCATTTTGATGTGGTCACCTGTATGGAAATGCTTGAGCATGTGCCCGATCCTGCTGCCATCATCACAGCAATTCAACGCATAGTTAAACCTGGTGGGATGGTATTTATGTCCACTTTTAACCGTAATTTGTCCGCTTATGTTTTTGCAGTCTTAGGTGCCGAATATATTCTGAGGATGCTGCCTAGGGGTACACACGATTACCAAAAGTTTATTACGCCAGCTGAACTGGCTCGTATGGCAAGGCATAGTGGTTTAACCCTCAAAAAACTTGAAGGCATGCGTTTTAACCCGCTATTTCAATCTTACGAACTCACCCCCAACACACAGATCAACTATTTAGCAAGCTTTCAAAATCCTATTGAATCTATACTATGAGCGAAACCGATCGTTTTTCTCCGACTCACGGCAATTTAAAAGCGGTGTTATTTGATTTTGATGGTACGCTACTTGACACAGCCGATGATCTAGCCAATGCTGCCAATAACGCATTGGTTTACCATGGTTACCGCCCCTTTGATGTAGAACTTTTAAAACCTCATGCCTCCTCAGGGGCAATGGGGTTATTAGGCGCTGCTGGATTTGCGCCAGAACATCAACAATTTGAGGAATTGCGTCATCGTTTTATGGAGTTTTATGCTCAAAACCTCTCTCAACACAGCAGCCTTTATGAAGGGGTGAGCAATATACTCGAAAAAATCGAGACAAAAGGTTTGTTATGGGGTATTGTGACCAATAAATCATCACGTTTTACGCTACCTTTAGTTGAGCAATTTGGCTTGGATCTAGCGAGTGTTGTTGTTTGTGGTGATACAACCCCCAACCCAAAACCTTCCCCAGAACCTTTGTTATGGGCAGCTCAGCAGTTAAATATTGATCCAACATCCATTATTTACGTGGGTGATGCAAGGCGAGATATTGTGGCGGCAAAAGCTGCCAATATGTACAGTGTTGCAGCCGCTTATGGCTATTGCGATGGCGAAAATCCTGCCTTGTGGGGGGCTGATGATCTAATTCATAACCCGATGGGCTTAAACGCAGTGATCAAAGAACTTTTATTACCAAGGACTTAATTTTATGGCTAAAATAAATCTCAGTAAGATCGATACCAATGCTCCAAAAGGGCTGGATAAAGATGCCACCAAGGCAAAAACAGCAGGCATAGTCAAGGAGCTCACTGAATTACAAAACCTTTTATTCGCAGAAGGCAAACATTCTGTGTTGGTCGTTGTCCAAGGCATGGATGCCAGCGGTAAGGACGGCTTATTAAAAAACGTTTTTTCATCGATGAACCCGATGGGGGTGCAAGTTACCCCTTTTAAAGCACCAACCGAACTTGAAGCTAGCCACGATTTTTTGTGGCGTATTCATGCACATGCCCCAGCTAAAGGTATGATCGGTGTGTTTAACCGTTCACACTATGAAGATGTTTTGATTCAGAGGGTTCACGGCTGGATTACCGATGCCGTTGCCCGCAAACGGATGGCAGCGATCAATGATTTTGAACGTTTACTCAAAGAACACAACAATACCCATATCTTAAAGTTTTATCTGCACATCACGCCAGAACAACAGCTAGAACGCTTAAATGAACGCTTAACCATTCCTGAAAAGATGTGGAAACACAACGACAATGATTTGGCAGAAGCCAAGCTGTGGCCTAACTATATGAAATGTTACGAAGATGTTTTTGCTAAATGTGATGAAATCCCTTGGCAAATTATTCCCGCAGGGCAAAATTGGTACAAAAGTTATTTGGTTGCCAAGGCTTTACGTGACAAACTCGTCTCACTCAAAATGCAGTTCCCCGGCTTAAAAAGTGACAAAAAATCTTAAGGTTGTCGTTCAGTCAATTGCCTTGTAGGGTTGATCAAACGTCATGAATTTGATGCACGCAAGTCAAAAAAGGATTAAGGCGCAATCGTGCCGTCATCAGGGGTTTAATGATTTAGGTGTGCGCGGTATTTAATGTTGTGCAGCATCGACCGCGTATTTTGTCATGCCCCCTACCTTGCACGGTGGAGCTAAATCCAGTTCAACCTCTCACAAATTGCTTGGTCTTTCTAAAAGACATAAACATCTTATGTTATATTAACGGCTTGTTCAACTAGCGCGCGAGGTTGATGACCTGCGCAAATTTATGAGTACTCCTTCTGACGAACCGTCATCCAAAACACCAAAAAATTTAACAAATAAAAATAATACCTTAAGCATAGCCCACCTGACGCAAACCGTTAATCGAGCTTTGTTATTAAAGCCTAAAACCCTTGCAGACTTACAGTATACCTTGTCAGAGGCTCAAAAAGAGGGCTTATTTGATGCAGATACTTTGTCTATGCTAGAAGGCGCTATTCAAGTCAATAGCCAAAATGCAGGTGATATTATGGTGCCGCGTTCACAAATCACCTTTATTAATGTGACCAGCCCACTGCAAACCATTATAGATACGGTCAATACCTATGCGCACTCACGTTATCCCGTCTACGAAGGTCAAAAAGATCATGTCTTAGGTATTTTGTTAGCAAAAGACTTATTACGTTTTGTCGGTAAAGCCGATCAATTTGATTTACGGGGTATTTTACGTCCCATTTCTTTTATCCCTCAATCAAAGCAACTCAATGTTTTATTAAGAGATTTTCGTGTCAATCGCAACCATATTGCTTTGGTGGTCGACGAGTACGGTAGTGTATCGGGGCTTTTAACCATCGAAGATGTCTTAGAACAAATTGTCGGTGATATTGAAGACGAACATGATTTTGATGAACAGTGTGACAATATTGTCGCTACTGCCGATGAGGCATGGCGCGTAAGAGGTTTAACAGATGTTAGCCACTTTAACGAGTATTTTAACGCCAATTTACCAGAAGATGACTCAGATACGATTGGTGGTTTGGTAGCAAGAATGCATGGACGTGTTCCCAAACGGGGTAGTATTATCCATATCGATGGGTTTTCTTTCGAGGTGATACGAGGGGACGCACGTAAAATTGATTTATTGTTGGTTCGTCGTGTACCTGATGCAGAGAATCAAACCGAATTAACGCAAGATACTGATTCATGAAGCGTTTTTCCGAATACAGACAAAACAGCAAAGGCTTAGCCTTTGCTGTTGGTATTTTTTTAGGCGTATTGGCAACGTTATCTTTTGCACCTTTTGGGTTTTGGCCACTGCAATTGATGAGTTATCTGGTCTTATTTGTTCTTTTATTGAGCCCCAGTTACCGTTATCGGCTCTTGACCTGTTTTGTTTTTGCGACAACCCACTTTGCAACAGGGCTATGGTGGCTATGGGAAAGTTTGCATACGCATGGTGGCATTCCCAACCTATTGGCCATTTTAGCGGTCATCTTATTGGCAAGTTTTTTAGCGCTATTCCCTACGGTTGCCGCTAGCATAAGTCTCAAGTTGATCGACAAATTGCATCAAACCCGTTTTTTCTTTTTGTTGTCTTCAGCAATGGCCAGTTGTTTTGCCTTGAATGATTTTTTACGTGGTTTCGTTCTCTCAGGGTTACCTTGGTTAGCAACAGGGTATGCCCATACCGATAGCCCTTTGATTGTTTTTGCCCCGTTATTTGGTGTGTATGGTATTGGTTTTATTGTGTTTTTAATTTGTGCTTTGTGTGCAAATGCATTAACACTTTATTGGCGATACGGTGCTCTACCTCGCCGTGTAGGAATCATAACTTTGGTGAGCGGAGCTTTTTTGTTGGGTAGCTATACATTACTGCATCATCATTGGTGGGCGCGACCATCGGGAAAGCCACTCGTTGTTGCAAGTATTCAAGGGAATATTTCTCAATCGATTAAATTTAGTGCTGATGGCTTGCAGCTTTCTTACGATACCTACATCAAAGCACTCGAAAATCAAAACGTAGATTTGGTGATCACTCCAGAATCAGCCCACCCAGTCGCACTTGCTCAAGTGATGGATCAAGTGGGTGAACGCATCATCCACGCAACAAAAACGCATCGCACCTACTATTTGTTAGGTGCCATTTCAGAAGATTCAGCGACCGATTATGCCAATAGCGCTTACGTGATGAATCCAGAGGGTCAATTTTATTATCGATACGATAAACATCATTTAGTGCCTTTTGGTGAATACATTCCTGATTTTTTTGAATGGTTTGTCAAGCTATTGCAAATGCCATTTGGTGAGTTCCAAGCTGGAGCACTCGTGCAAAATCCTGTACGCATTAAATCGTTGTGGATTGCACCCAATATTTGTTATGAAGATTTGTTCGGTGAAGCAATTGCTCGCTCGATTCGACAAAATAGCCAAAAGGGTATGCAACCGCATATTCTTGCCAATCTCACCAATCTTGGGTGGTTTGGACAAATCATGGTGTTAGATCAGCATTTACAAATTGGTCGAATGCGTGCTTTTGAAACCCAAAAACCGATTATTCGTACCACCAATACAGGGATTACTGCGTATATCGGCGCTGATGGTCAAATCCTCGCACAACTGCCTAGCGCAACTCGTGCGATTCTCAAAACAACCATACAAGGGTATCAAGGCTTAACACCTTATGTCCAATGGGAAAATTGGCCGATGCTTGGGTTATGGACTTGTCTTGGTGTTTTAGCTTTGATTGCTAGGCTAATGCAAAGAGCTTAACCATGTTTATCAATAAAACCAGTTTATCTGATCGAGGATGATTTTTAATCCTCATTAACCGAGCTATATTGGACTTATTTGGCGCATGATTTAGCTATGTAGATTCAAATGACAGTTGTTATAAAGAGTCTTAGGCACGCAATTTGAGATAAAATGGGGCATGGCGCAAATATTCAGAACGAGGAAACGAGATGAATAAACGAAATTGGATGATTTATGGTGTGACTGGATATTCAGGTTACCTCATTGCTAAAGAAGCTGTTAAGCAAGGATTGAAACCTGTTCTAGCAGGTCGCAAAAGAGATGAAGTGATGGCTGTTGCGAAAGAACTCGGATTAGAAGCTCGTATTTTTCCCTTAGATAATCCAGAGCAAGTTGCAAGCCAACTGCAAGATATTAGCCTAATGCTAAATTGTGCTGGTCCCTATTCAAAAACGGCACGACAAACGATAGAAGGATGTATTCTCGCTAAAACGCATTATTTAGATATAACCGGTGAAATTGAGGTTTTTGAGTTTGGTCGCAGTCAAGACGCAGCGGCTAAATCAGCTGGTGTGATTGTTTGCTCAGGAGTAGGTTTTGATGTCATTCCTACCGATTGGGTAGCCAGTTGTTTACATGAGCATTTGCCGGATGCGACACAATTGGCATTAGCTTTTGCATTGCCGCCTGGTTTATCAAAAGGAACGGCTTTATCAACGATTGAAGGACTTAAATTAGGATCGTATGTTCGTGAAAGTGGAAATTTAAAGAATGTTCCTTTTGGGCATCGCATCCGCGAGATTGATTTTGGTGATGGTCAGACCAGTACGATTGCCTCTATACCGTGGGGAGATGTCGCTAGCGCATACCATACAACGGGTATCCCCAATATCGAAACCTTTACCAAACTCACGCCCAATATTGCTAAAGCTATGCAGTGGGTCAACAAAATACGACCGATTTTGACGAGCAGTATGGTTTACCCCCTTTTAGAGCTCTGGGCTAAAAATGTTAAGGGCCCAGAAGATTCTGTGCGTGACAAGGGTGATGGCTTTGTGTGGGGAGAGGTTCGCAATGCCATTGGGCAAATTCGCGTTGCGCGCATGTCGGTTAAAGGTAGTGGTTATCATATTACGATTTTTGGCGCACTTAAGATGGTTGACGTTGTTCTAAAAAATCAAACAGATAGTGGATATAAAACACCAAGTCAATTGATTTCTTGGCGTGAAAGCATGTCACTTGAAGGATGTGGACCGATTAAAATTTTAAAAACATGATCGTTATACAACCCATTGTGATGATCTTCGAGCCAATGAATAAAAATTGCTGGTTTGGTGACACCAATAAATGGCCAGCTCATTAACATGAGTTGAAATGACCCAATGAATCGATTAACGGTACGTGCGCTGATATATGGCATTGTTTTTATTGTTTTATTTGGTTGCAGCACCTCAAAAACAATGATTCCATACGATGGTCCTGAAAAAACCAGCAGTGTTAAAACCAATATTCTGACAGCACTAGATTACGAATGGCGCCAGTTTGGAAGTCAAACAGCTCGTTATGATTGGAACGGCCTTAGTGTCGAACGATCTGGGCTGAGCAATGAAAACTCACCAAAGGCCCGCGCTCGAATCCGACGTTATTGGTCAGCGGTTGATGATCATGTTACACCAAAAAACATGAAAGCTGTTCCTTGGTCAGCCGCATTTATTTCATGGGTGCTCAAATGGTCAGGAGCCGATGATTCTGATTTTGAACCTTCGGCGGCACATTCACGCTACCTCTTGCCGCTCATACAAAATGCGCGTTATGACGCTGATGCTAAGCTCGTACCTCATAATATAGGTCGTTATCAACCTAAACCTGGAGATCTATTATGTGCGGGGCGGGCGGGCGTTAAAGTTCCTTCATTATCAAGACTATACTCCACAGCGACGACCCATTGTGATTTTGTATACAAGGTTCAAGATGGGAAGTTATATGTGGTGGGAGGCAATGTCGGCAATTCGGTGACACTGAGTAGTATTCCACTGGATAAAAATTTTCAGCCGCTGCCTGTCAAAAATTGGTTTGCTTGGGTAGAAAATCGTTATGATTGATGCTCATCAAAAGTCAAAAATCATGATACATAATTCCGTTTTCGAATCAAATGTGCAAGCGAAACGACGACGAAGACATGACAAGTGTAAGGCGAAGAGGAGTGACAAATTACACGTTTGATCCGAAATTGGAATAAAACGTCATATATTTAAGCAGAACAAGATCAGCCCATTGATTGCGCGCCCTTAGAATCGTTTATTCTAATTCCAATTCCACATCAACCGTGAATTTTGTCATTCCTTGTCTTGCAAGGGCAATGCCTTCGCCGTCATTTCGCATTCACGATGGATGTGGAAATGTAATAACCGGAGCACGCCTCAAAAGCCAAGCATCATCAATATCTTGCCATAAACGGCTTATTTTTGTACCAAAAAGCCATTTTTCTTGCCTAACTGTATAATCGAGCTAGTAATCGCCCCCCCTAAATCATCTTTTTTGTTGGCCACTTGTAATTTAGACTGTTCATCGATATAGGTTTGACGTTTTTTCGCAATGATTGCAATCTCAGACTGAATTTTTGAGCGTTCTTTATCGGCTTTTTGTACCAGTTCGCGTTTTTCGTTTAAAGATTTACCTTTAAGCACCTCCGGCAATGCCTCCTCGCTTGCACTGGCTAAAAAACCTGCTTCTTCTTTTACCTTATCAACAATATCCCATGTACTGTTTTTGTATGCTTCGCCTTTAGATTTTGAAACAACGCGCTCGGCGACATTGGATTTTGAGACACTTTCAGCGTTTTTGTCTTGTATTGCTTGGTTTTCTTTTTTGCTATTGCCCATCTGGCCATAACCAATATAGGTTTCATTGAGTTTTGTATTGAGTTCAGATAAAGCATCGTCGTATGGCGTATCAATCGTGTGCACTTTTTCATCTGAATCAATCGAGAAGAACTCACCGCCACCAAGCGTTGCACCATCTTGCCACCGAGTTTCAATGCCTTCGCTACGGTCACCACAAAAAATGGTGTTCACAAAGATATTGTTTTGACGCGTTTTCGCAATCGATTTTTTGTAAGAAACGCCTCCTTGATCAAAAGGTTCATTGCCCGCCACATAGATTAATTTCATCGTGTTTTTGCCGTCTTGCCATAATAAATCACTCTGCGCACTGCCAATCACGGCCCCCACGTATTCTTCGCCACCGTTAGTTTTTAATGCAAAAAGTTTTTCTGATATTAAATCAAGGTCTTGAGTAAATGGCGTCACTTGCCGAATATAGTTCGATCGAGCTGATAATTTATCATTGCCATATTCGTACAGCGCAATTTCGATGTCGGGCATGGTGCCATCATAACGCAGTGTTGTTAAGGTATTGACAATATGCCACAACCTTGATTTCGCCTGATCGATCAAACCATCCATACTATTAGAGGTGTCTAATAAAATTGCCACTTGGATTTTGCTTTTTGCAGGCCTTGTCGCTGATGGTACCGTTGGCTCAGTATCCGATGATCGATCGATCACGCTCTGCTGAGGTTTAATCGTAGAATGCTCTAGATTCTCTTGGTTTTTAGCAACTGCCCATAAAGCTGGCAAACTTAACAACCCACCTATAATCACGATTTTTTTAAACTTGTTACGCATATAAATATCCTTATACTTCAATAAATTGACAACAAACCTCAATCCCACATCCATCGTACCCTTTGTCATACCTCTTCGTATTGTGCTTGTCATTGATTAGAAATTGCTCTTTAAATATTAACGACAGCCAGAACCAAGCCATGAACATACCTTCCGATAATGTAAAACGCATCAATGATTTTTATGTGAAGTGTGGCAATCAAAAATTTGACCATCATGAGGAATATGTGAAGCCTTGGCTTTTAAAGGTTAATCGCCAATGAATAAGCAAAGACAGGTGTCATTTACGTTATGGCAAAAATTGCACTCAACGCAGGGCTAGGATAATGACAAATTACATCATAAATAGCATAAATAGTATCTGACCCTAATTTATACGATGCCAGATTCAAAAGATGGCAAAGGAATGACAGGAAGCATCAACCTATATGTCAACGATCAACTAACAAAACGTATACCGCTGACCTCTCGATATATGTGGAATTACAGTTTGGTTGGATATTG